GCGCTAGGCCACGGCGTAAAGGGGTCCATCAGGTGGCAGAATGGCGAAGAAAATCTTTGTTAAGTGGTGGGTTCCATGCTATTTGTGATGAGATCTTACTGGAATTTCGTTGTGCTTTCGAACAAGTGTTTTTGATTAATAGCTGCTTCCTCTAAGACGTTTTAATTCACTTTCGTACCGTTGCTATTGTTTTTGTCAATGAAACTTCAAGAGAGCTCTGTAGTCAAGGGGGCAAGACTTCGTTGTTCCATTTCTCGCGAAGCGTTCTTTGTCAGCGCCTTGGGAAATTTCTCGGAGACTTATTACAGGGCTATTCGATCATTGTTGCGAATCTGTGTGAGTTCGGATCCCCACTATCAACGAAAATGCGCTCAGATGGCTTTACATAATCTCCTTCGACAAAACCCTGGAGTCTCTAAAATTTCGACGTAATCTGTGGATGTTCTGCCGAACTCCGAACCACTCTTCGAAGGGTAAAAATGCTTTGCGGTGAGTGGGAGCTCTGCTGACGAAATCACTTCACCCTGGACTTCACACGCCAATATTTATCTCGGATTCTCCTTTTTAGTAAGAGAAAGTTGACCCTGCCTACAGCGCCTCTGCGAGTCTTTCTTCAACAGCTATTTAACACAGTGACGACAGCGACACGCATGCGCGTTAGATTTTCAAGCGAATCAAGCCTATTTTGTTCGATTATTTGGCATTTCTCATATTTCAGAACTGTGTGTATACATTATCTTATCTGGAAAACAGTGCGCCAGTTACTATCAGTGTAATTATTAGAGGAGCCCCAGGATGTGGAAAAAATAAATATAAATAAGATGCTGAATTACAAGACAACGGGCTGTCGTCAATGTGTTAAACCACTTGGCTAATCGAAGTGATAACTTGTACTTTGTGTCGGGTCAAGCTCACATACTGGCGCTTGACCCCGATAATGAGTAGACGGGGGATCTAGATAGTTTGACTTTCTGATAATTCACCATCGAGAGGATAATAATCCATATACAAAAGAAATTGGTCGCCTCTGCAAGAAACTGAATGCATGCTTTCTCAACGAGTTGCGTCCATCGCACCTTTTGGATACTACTAATTTTTGGAGCAGTGTATTTCAAGAGGTATGGGGTGTGAGCGCAAAATGTGCCTAAACTTCTATTGCTGCAAAGAGTAATTCCATACTTTCTCATATCGACTCAGATGTGTTCGCATGGTCACAAAAGTCTCCTCATTACGACGAGCACAGTCAACAGATTCTTCGCACGTTTGCAGTCTCATTCAGTTGAAATTCAAGCATAGTGATGGTTTCAGTGATTCTTTCAAGGTACGGCATCTGTTTTTGTGGCTGGCAAGCATCCTTGTGTCACGGGGCAAGTCTTACAGGACAATCAAGTGTCGTGACATTCATATATAAGCAAATCTATATGTAGTTTTATCACATTTTTCGGTTTTGTCCAATTTCATCCAAACATTCTGACTTTACTCAAAATTTCCCCTTCTCGCACCTTGATTAGGATCGAAGCAGGATTCAGGGAATCACAGAGGTTAAGGAAAATGGAAGAGAAAGAAATTTATACGAAAGAAGTCACTTCATTCATTCCCAGTAGATCTTTTATTTTTACTGTTGGGACTGTTAAGCAGTTTCAGTCACGCTCTACACCTCACAGATAAACAACACACATGCCATTAGGTTGTTCGGAAAGTAATGCGGGTTTTCAACCTCTATTTTGAAGAAGCATATCTCCACTCAAATTCAACATTTTCGATCGTAACAAAACTATTCAAAACTACATATTTTTCTTAACAAGATGCACACTCAACTGTCCCGCCCATGTGACAATGAGCGCTTCTGTAGGCGATGAAATCATCGAACGTCGTTTCCAGATCACTTTGAACACTGAAGTATTTCTTGCTCAAGAAGCTGTCGGGATGGTTGGAAAAAGTGTTATTGGTGAGCGAGAGGTCCAATGAGTACGACGTGTTGAGCAAAGCTTCGTATGCCAGTTTGTCCAATCTTTGCGAGGTCGTTTATGGGACATGTGGCTGAGCGCCACCATGAAGGAGGGTTGTTTCATTTCTCTCGGTTGACGAAGTTGGTGTTTCTAGAGCATCTCATCGGTATGCTGGAGAGACATTGGTGTTGTGTCAAATTCACCTGGTTCCCAAGAGGTGTGGTGCATCAGTCCCGTGGGAGACCGCCGAATGTTCAGCTCAACATTGACCTACTACAATTTCGGCTTTAGATAACTTTTTGAAGATTCATCGCGGTCCAGCTTGTGAAGGGATGGCTTGCTATATTCGTGAACAGTCCATTTTCCATTTTAGATTGCAATGCTTTCCTAATATTCGTGGTTTTCGTTACGTAAAATGGGTGGAAACGACACCTTAGGAATACGGTTTTGCTGCTGCATCGGGTAGCCAATGCGGTAGCCATCTGTTCAGCTTTTTCACCTCCCCAATTATCTTCATGAGACACAATCTTTTCAATATACTTACTCCCAGTCCTACTGCTAACTATAGTGCAGTTGGTCCGAACCATCTTCTACGGGAACCTTTAGAAGGCCGTCGTTAACAGCGGAATCATGCTCATGACTCCCCTCACCTTCACGATGGAATTCATTGAGACCAAAATGTTGGAGCCGATGTTGTGCTGTGCTTTTATTGGCTTCCTTGGCCCCATCCTTCAGTGTTATTTCGACTGGTCTACGAAGCACTACCTCAGAGTTTCAGCACATCAGTAAACTGATTTATTTATTTATTGACTGCGCCAAAGGTGCGCGCTTTAATGTGAAACTAGGGCCGCAGGTAACTGTGAAACTGTTTCAGAACTGCCAAACTGTAAACTTGCCAGAATCGCTGCTTTGACACCTTTATTTCAAATCTATAAAAACCCGAAATAGCAAGCCATATTGAAACTCAAATACACTGAAGGAAAGAAGATACAATAGGCTTGCCAATGATATATAGGGCTTCAGGTCTCGAATGAAATATCAGTATAAAAATATTTCATGAATGCATGGCATCTCGAAACCCGCATTACTTTCCGAACAACCTAATATTTTTCAGAAGCTATCCCCACGTGCTGCTATTCTAAGTAGCACTGTTAGCATCCCATGTATAGAACTCCAGTGAGAAACTTCCAACTCACAATCAGAACATGGTAATCAAGAATTGTGCCGAAGGCGCGTATTCTCAGAGAAAGTTATTTCATAAGAGTTTCATTTTTGCATCGCGGTTGAGACCACATTAGTGGCAGTGCTTTGTTGCAAGCAATTCAACCGCACTTTAGTGAAACTCAGACGACGAAATTTTTTCAAAACCCATTCCCGATATGGTGTAACAAAATAAATTGTGAAGAGAGGGTCAATGGCAGATGGTAATGCTGCAGTTGCTGCTACCAGATACTCGACGATGACGAGGTTCCCAGTGGTAAGAGTAGGACACGTAGAATAACCAATCCTATGGGCAGATAACAACATAGCGGTACCATAGCTTGTGCTGTGAGTGCCTTAAGGAAAAAGTGATTTGGTGAGAAGAAGCAAACTTGGCGTTAGCTTTGGTAAAGAATCGCTTTCCTCCATATTCCATTCTTACAATAAGTAAGAAATAAAACTTTTTCCGTTCAGTTTGGCCGCCGTGCTTTCGAGAGTGTTGGAGCTGCTATCATTCACAAGCTACCATTTTGTGTATTCAAGTATTTACTGAGATACGCCAGAAGTTTCTAACTCGATGATACTTAGGTTTCCACTAGTTATATCCTGTTATTTGCCGCTCCTCTGTTTGCCGTCCCTTTACTCGTTTGAGCTCTGCTGAGCCTGTAAAGCATATTCAAGGTTCGCTCGCCAGCGTTACACGTTTTTGTAGGTTATCTACGACAACGACAACTGCTGTGACGGCACTGTTTTCTCACCAGGACAATCAAAAACCCGTTTTGGCCCTATCAAACAAACTACTTTGTGTGGCAGATCAGAGGAAAAGTGGTATTGTCCTCGTTTGAAGGCAACAACAATTTCATAACTGCGTGGTCATATCATTCATCTCTAGAGATTGAGCCGCGGAAGCGTAGAAAGAATTATACCGACACCGCCGGTCGTTCTAGTTCTGTCACAGAGAGCGATTTAAACTCGAAGCCGGTGCCTTCGATTTGCTGCAAGACCACCTACTTTCAAAGCACATAAGTCAACTCGTCTACGCTCCCATTGCTTCTACTAACTCGTGGGAGCGGCCCGACAACGTGCCAACATTCAACGTTGCAACGCGAGTCTTCATACGTTGCGGGACTTTTGGACTAGCCTAGTTTGCCCCCCGATGCCGTCCTTGCACCGGAGACCCTCGCATCTTTCCACACTCGCTTGGGCGTTGTGCGCACGTCGGCTCACACGGACGCCCTGTTCCGCAAACCATATGGCGCCATCAAACATAAGGTTTTATGGGTGTAGGCCGGCCTGTTACAGGGCTCCCGCTTGCACTAGTTTGACCGCGTGAAGTTCGACCATGTCACTGAGAATTACCCGCAGAAGCAGGTAATTCTCAGTGACATAGTCGAACTTCACTGATAAGAAAACACCTACTCGAACTTAAAGGCAACGGTTGGGATCAAATTGATTTATTACCCCTCGAATATGAAAGCAGGGATGCGAATTGAACCGAATGTGGACGAGGAGAGGAAAGCTGAGCGGTTCCTTCGCTGCAACTTACAAACTTTTCTGAGTAGAACGACTTCGATTAAGTTCCACAAACCTAGCAAATCTAAAGCTGGTCTGATGAAAGCTCGTTGACTTTCATAAAGTCATCGTCTGGCCCGCTCTCCGGAATCTGTTTGAACTGTTACAGAGGAAAGGTACTCTTAAAATTATATCGAAATGGGCCAAAAGCCCCGGCATATCCGCCCAGTATTCTTCATTAGTGAAATACCGACTTATCCTTTCACAGATGGTTCGAGCGCACATTACGCAAACGGCCGTGGCCTTAAACCAGCTGAGCTACAGACTATGCTGGCTCACCTTCATGAAAAGTTTGGAAATATTCTTGACTGTCTCTGAGTGCTCCTCTTGTGATTTGTGAAGCTCTTTTAGCATGAGATGCTTGAGGCAAACAATAATAATTGGCGATGATGTAACGATAGTGAACGAAATCACTACATAAGCGATCATCTGTACGCCATCTGATGATATGAAGCCTCCGAATTCTCCATACCTGAATTCTTTTCCTTATAGTAGCGTCGAAAAGCAAACATGATAACTCACTCCTCTAAGTGTTGTCCAGGATGTTCACGTATAGTCACATTCATAAGATTGTCGAAGTCCATTGATTGAGTATAAGGTAGAACCTGTGAAATCACAATTGTTTGTTGTCGGAGAAAATGCACAGCAATTTTTCAACACTACAGCTTTTCCAATGTGAGTATTTTCAACCTTATGGATTCGGTGCACGATAACCAATCCATCACGCTCGCGATTTCGACCCCTCTTAATATTCTTATAGTTGATGAAGGCCACAATCAAGTTGAAACTGAAGCAAAGGAAAAAATGGACATCACTCGAGCATTCGCTGTAGAAAGGTTGAAGGACCCAACCATTGCTAACAGGTTCAGACTGGAACTGCACAATCGCTTTGAACTTTTGGGAAACGTAAGGAACATTGAAGACGAATGGAGGGCAATAAAGGAAAATATTCAAACAAGTGCAGAGCAAGTGGTTGGCCGCAAGCGTGGCAAAAGGAAAGAGCAATGGATTCAAGCCAGAACGTGGGAGAAGATAGACGAACGGAGAGCGATAAAACTTCAAAGAGATCAAGCCAAAACGCACGAAGAGAGAGAAGAAGCAAGCCGGAAGTATACGGAAATTGACCGTTTCGTGAAAAAGTCCTGTCGTCGGGATAAAAAGGAATGGCTTTTCGCGAAAAGGAACTGAAGCTCAACAAGCAGCAGATCGTGGCGATTCGAAAACTCTCTACCGCATTGTAAATGAATTGACAGGCAGCTCAAACCTAACGAATGTCCCTGTCCGAGACAAAAATGGGCGGCTCTTGCTAAGTGATGAAGAACAGAACGAAAGATGGATAGAACATTTTTGCGAGGTGCTCAATCAACCTGACCCAACGAAGACTTATTGCTTCGACGAGATGGATACAGCAGAAGAACTTGATGTGAACACAGGAGATATTACTGTTGAAGAGACCGATCAAGCAATTAAATGCCTTCGTAACAACAAAGCCCCAGGACTTGATGGGATTCAAGCAGAGTTAGTGAAAGAAGGCGGCAGACTTTTGACGGAAAGCACTGTCTAACCTATTCAATCGATGTTGGAATCAAGAAGAAGTTCCAGAAGATTGGAGAAAAGGAGTCATCGTTAGACTACCCAAAAAAGGAAATCTGACAGAATGCGGGAATTGGAGAGGAATAACCTTACTTTCAGTACCGGGTAAAGCATTCTGTTTAATATTGCTACGAAGAATTCGAAGCGCCATAGACAGACGCCTACGAGAGGAGCAAGCGGGGTTCAGAAGTGGTAGATCTTGTTGTGAACAAATCTTCATTCTCCGCAATATTATCGAGCAATGCATGGAATATCGGCATCCTCTATCATCAACTTCATTGATTTCAAAAAGGCGTTCGATAGTATTCACCGCGACTCGTTATGGGCAATTCTTAAGATATACGGCATACCGCAACGTTTTATCACCATCTTCAAGAGCTTGTACATGAACTCATCGTGCTGCGTAAGGACAAATGATGGGCATACTCGGTTTTTCGAAATCACTACTGGAGTACGACAAGGATGTATTCTATCACCATTCCTGTTCAACATCTGTCTAGACTTCGTTATGCGAAAGGTGGTAGGACAAACGAGAACTGGCATAAGTTGGTATGACCAAGAACGTCTCACAGATCTGGATTTTGCGGATGATATTGCACTCATTGAGGAAGACGAAAACAAGCTCCAAGAAACGACTACAAACCTTAGCAATGAAGCAACAATGATTGGCTTACGCATCAGTGCCGAAAAATCGAAGGTCATGCGCATTGGTTCCCACAATACACAAATGGCCATTTATGTCGATGCGAAAGAACTCGAGACAGTTGACAGATTTACATATCTGGGAAGTACAGTTGTTTACGACGAGAAACAGATGCGCGTACTCGGATTGCGAAGGCAGCATCTGTTTTTCAACGACTCCAGTCAGTATGGACAATGTCCTCTATCTCACATAACATTAAGATGCGGCTGTACCAATCCATTGTGATTTCCACGGCGCTGTATGCAAGCGAAACATGGAAAATCACTGCTGGACTCGTCAGAAAATAAATGCCTTCCATCAACGTTGCCTTCGCCGAATCATGAAAATACGGTATACAGATCACATCACTAATCAGGAAGTCCTACGCCGCACAGGTATGAGCAGCCTCCACGTGATTGTGGCACGGCGCAGACTCCGACTGGCTGGACATATCCTACGTATGCCACAACATCGCATTCCACGAAGGGCCATGTACTGGGTCCCTCCAGGAGCCAAGAGAGCAAGGGGCCGTCCCAGAAACACGTGGAGACGAACATTCGATAATGACCTAAAGACCATGGATGTTTCTAGGGATGAATGTGAAACACTTGCGCAAAATCGTCAGCAGTGGAAAGAATTCGTCGCCCGATGTGCTCAACAGCACGGGAGGAACTAAGTCTAAGTAAGTAATAGTTCTTACTTCACACTATTGCTTGCTATCACCGACCCTTTGTGCCTCCTTTTCGCTCTCATACATGCGCTAAAAGGAGGACAAGTACGTGAAAAAATTTGTCACAACAATGGTTATTCATACCAACAAATATCTCACAATCAATACTCTGATCGTGAGTGTGAAAGAGTTGGGTAGATGACAAAAAAGCGCGAGGAAAAGGAAGTGGGTAGAAACAAGGGGATTTCGGGACCTAAAGAAGTTGTCGTTATGTTAGGATGTTCAGCGGCGTATGTCTGGTGGGAATACGTGGAAATCGTAGCGATTTCCAAAGAAGCACAGTTCTTTTATATAAATCCAGTTGGCGCCGCACGCGTTGCGCGCACAGCACAGGTATGCGGCGATATGGGATGGTGCGGTCAAATATTCGAGGTGTATTGGGCAAATTCTCAAATTTGCTCAATGCACTACGAATATTTGACTTCTAAGTTAGATTCTATCCGCTCCATCCACCGATGGCTTTTGACCTTCCCTCCTTCGTCAACCAATTGTCTGTTTTTCTTGGTCTCGGACTGCTCTGGACCGATGGATAAATCTCATGGTCATCTCCGCCTATTTCATTGCTTGTCCCACCTAACTTTTTCTTCCTCGCAAAGGTTTGTGGAGACTCGCCCACTTTGGTGCACGCTCCACCCACCAATAGCAGTTGTCCTCCCGTGCGTTGTCGAACTCGAACACTCTTTTTCCCGGTTTCCTTGGACTCCTCGGAACTGAATTACAGGCCTTCCTAATTCGATGTGACTTACCTAGGCCTAGTTTCGAGGTTGTTTTGTCACTGAAATTGAAATCTTGGTCGTCAGTACAGTTCATTTCGACGCACGCCACGCCCACTGTGGGCGGGGCTCCGCTTAGCTGATGTGTGTTTTGTACTTCGTGAGACCTTGCCCACCCATCCCACACTTGACCCGGTCCCTCCAGGCGGATCCCGAGGAGCTAGGGAATTTCGTGACAGACATACAGAACGACAGACGAAGCGTTTATAGAAGACCAGTTGGCGCCGCACGCGTTGCGCGCACAGCACAGTTCTGCGGCGATATAGGATGGTGCGGCGTAAATTTTCGAATTTGGCCCAATACACTTCGAATATTTGACTTTCAAGCTGAATTCTATCCGATTGCCCCATGCTTCATCCACCGATGGCTTTTGACCTTCCCTCCTTCGTCCACCAATTGTCCGTAATCGTCAACCAATTGTCCGTTTTCCCGGTCTCGGACTGCCTCTGGACCGATTTATAAACCTCGTGGCTCCGCCTATTTCTTTGCATGTCCCACCTATCTTTTTCTTCCTCGCCAACCTCTTCCCACTTTTTACCCGATCTCTGAACTATCTCTGAGCCGATTTATAATTTTGGCGGCGAATCCTGCTTTTTTGGTGTATCCTCCGCACACCATTAGAAATTCACTTCCTTTCCTTCGCCCACTTCTCTTTCAGTCTTCAGGGCTTACGAATGAATGAAATGACTTATGAATTGTGAAACCGAGTTATGAATTTTCGCGAAACTCCGCCCACTTTGGTCATGCCCCGCCCACCGATGACAGTTGGCCTCCACTCCTCCACCCACCTCTATCCACCTTTTCCCGGTCTCCGGGACTTCTTGGAACCGAGTTATGAATTTTCGTCGCAAACTCCGCCCACTTTGGTGCACGCCCACCCACCAATAGCAGTTGACCTCCTTTCCGTTGCGACTCTATCCACTTTTTCCCGGTCTCCAGGACTTCTTGGAACCGAGTTATGAATTTTCGTCGCAAACTCCGCCCACTTTGGACATGCCCCGCCCACCAATGACAGTTGGCCTCCACTCCTCCACCCACCTCTATCCACCTTTTTCCCAGTCTCCGGGACTTCTTCGGAAACTTCCGTCGCAAACTCCGCCCACTTTGGTCATGCCCCGCCCACCAATGACAGTTGGCCTCCACCACCTCTATCCACCTTTTTCCGGCTCACTAAGACTTCTCCGGCCCGAATTATGAGGACTTGTAGAAAACGCTGTACACTTCAGAGCGCGCTCCGCCCATTGTGGGCGGCCTCCGCCCACGTCATGTATGCTGGGAACACCTTAGACATTGCTCCCCTACACCAATTTGTTTTCTGCTCTGTAGGCTTTCTCCCAACCGAGTTATGAAATTTTTCATAAAGCACTGCTTTTTTGGAGAACGCCCCGCCCGGGTGGGTCTCCCTAATTCGATGTGACTTACCAAAGTGAAAGTGAACTGGGCCAGAATGTGGGTTAAGTGCATACCTTAACCCACTTTTTGGCCTAGTTTCGAGGTTGTTTTGTCACTGAAATGAAATCTTGGTCGTCAGTACAGTTCATTTCGATGCACGCCACGCCCACTGTGGGCGGGGCTCCGCTTAGCTGATGTGTGTTTTGTACTTCGTGAGACCTTGCCCACCCATCCCACACTTGACCCGGTCCCTCCAGGCGGATCCCGAGGAGCTAGGGAATTTCGTGACAGACATACAGAACGACAGACAGAACGACAGAAGACAGACGACAGACGAAGCGCTTTATAGTAAGTAGGATGTTCTGCGAAAGCTATTTCTGCTCCTCTGAAATTTTGCTGCAAAGAGGACTCACTTTGCATGAATTGTATATTTCTAAGGTTAAAGCGAAATTCTTTCTCCTGCCAATTTTCACACTAAATATTCATGATTATTTACAGATATATCTCCTAAAAATAGAATAAAAATCTGAAAATGGTAAAGTTTAATTTCCTTGGAGGAGTGAAATTCCATAGTGAAGCGAAAACGTTAAAATTGCCGCGGACTCCTACTCAAATAACGCGAAACATCTTTTTATAGTTTCCGCTCGCTCTCGCTTTGAGATGCGCCTTGCACTTAACTCCTCTTTCAAAGCTCATACCCGTTCTATAATACGTCGCCCCTATCTATTTATGTGACTTGCGAGGTGAGTCAGTTTGATCCCATTCACATCAACGCTGTTTTCGGTGCTCACCCATGCAATTTTGAACCTTCGCCCCCCACAGAAACAAAGTCGCGAATTACGCGATTGGCCCTTGGCCTTGGTGAAGCTGCTGTTATTCGCCTTCAATCTTGTGAAAACATACTCACGAGCACAACTGCTGGTAACACAGCAGCGATGATGAGACCAATTTTTAGCCTTCCAGTTGACATTCCGAGGGGTTGCATCATTCGATATCGAAAATACATTGTGTGGATAATCAATATCTCTACATGCAAAGATAGGGCGATGAGAATGTTATATGCAGCAAAGCATGTCGAAGGACCGAATAAACGACATGGACCTATTGGAAGGAACGCTGTCCCTGAGGTGCCACGAAGCAGCCTGCAATACTAGTTTATTCGTATCACATAGTCTATTTCTATAAGATAAACGGCCAGCATGGTGTGTTAGTTTGCATGCCTGTATGTCCTTGGGTTGGTCGGACTGTCTATCTATCCATCAGCAAAATGAGGCGCTAAGGCATGGGATAATCCAACCCTTTCCAGAACTGAAACTCAGATTTTTCGATGACGATATTTCGCGGTGGCAAGTTGTGATAACATCCTCAACTGATAGCAAGCCCCTAGAGCAATCTTGGTCATTCCGCGCTGCAGTGGCAGTCGGAGGCAAAGTGGAGCAGGGTAAAAAAGGAGAGGAATAGACCGCAAACGAATTGAAATTTACGTCAGTGTCAACACATTGACGCCCGCACCGATTTCGGCGCATGTCACACATGTGTAATTGGCCGCATTGCGTGTGTGCATACTCGGCGATGCACAAATCTCATATGTGTGACATTTTGTGGGTTTTCGTTGCGGAATCCACACAGCCGATCCATCGAAAAGGCGTGCGAGCTTTAGTTTTCGTATGCGAATATAAGTCTCTTTTTCATTTGGCTTCCATAAGTTCAATACATAGTGACACCATTTTGGACAATGCAGGCAGACTGGTGTGAAATTCCACGCAACTTCCCATTTTTTTTGTCTGGCAACTGCAATCATTTTTACTAAGCTAAGGCCGTACTCCGCTGCGAGCTTGGCTGCTATGCGCGAAAGAAGGCTGGACAAGTTCCCCCAAATTGATCGTCCTTTGAAAACATCATGAATTCGTTGAAAGTGAAGTTGGCAACATGTCTCATGTTTTACGGATTCGCAAGACTAACAGAGTCAAATATTAAAAGAAGCAGTAAAAAGGTTCGCTGTGGGACACCGTCCCGGCGATGGGCAAATATCAGATGTGGGAGTTTCGACGTGCATACCTGGCGATGCACGCGGGCTGCACTGTGTTAAGGTACCATGTAGGAGCGGCGTTGTAATTGTGAAAACGTATTTCAACTGTTGTAGAAATACGCAATGAGTGCACCAATCACGACAAGGTATGTAGGTACAGGGAAATAGGAGGGATGGAGAGACAAATTGCAAACTAACAAAACGAGGCCACATCAGTATTGACGTTCATATTAGCATGGTATCGCGATTGTGATAGGACTCTATACTGCAGAAGGTATCCTAATTAGCATACGCATCCGCTCCACGAGTTGCGTTGACCTCAAGCAGAGAGTGAGCACGGTGGAAGGCTTAAAGCTCACGCAGAGGAAGAGAGTTTCTGGCGGTTGCCAGCGTAAGAAAACTGATACACCATATTCAAGGCCCACTGACCTTCCCTGTAATACCACGGCTATGACTGCTGTCAGAATCTGTATAGTAGCGATGTACATGAGTAGAAGCTTGAATCTCCAAAGAGTGAGGGGACTTCTGAAAATGTTAATGAAATTATGATGTCCGCTTTGACCAGACTATCGCAGATGTTATGCTTTTAGAGCTTTTCTGGTGCTTATATGATTATTCATAATTTCTGGTTTATTAGTTATAGAAATAGTCATTACAAGCTCAGAAAAAAGTTGAGGCTGTTGCGTGCCAATGTCCCCGGTTTGCTTCTGTCATTGAACTATCTCGTCCCCGACAATGATTAATGTATTAGGTCGTCGCAAAAGTCTTCTTCCCCTCATTCCTTCATGTTGAAAAACTTCTCCGAATTCTCGTAGAAAATTCAATCCTTTCCAGGGCAAGCAAGCCTTCTACCCCCCCCCCCCCGCTTGTCGCTTATTTGGTACGGACTTGTGTGAGGGAACAAGAGCGTTCTTTGTTCTTTGACTGGTCTCCGCACGTCATTGCATGTCAAATCGAAACTGCAAAGGACGTCAGTACTCTCACACACTAGGCTGAGCCTCTCCTGGCATGCCGTGAAAAGTAGGATTCCTGTGTTGGTCAGTTTATTGAGGCTTCAGAGAGCTCCTAAGCTTTCCGCCTGTGACAAGTGGCTTCACACTGGGAGACCGCCGTTGGAATCGTTTGATTTCTGAGTTACCATGCGACAATTTGTGCGACTACTGCGATATAAATTTGGCAGTTACTCGTGACGCAATGATTTCCCAAACCGACTGTTGTCCCAAACCACTGTGAAAGGACGCGATACGCGACTATCGTAATATAAGGCCTAAAATTACTAGTCATTGAAGTATACAGGGTGGCTACTAAATATTGGCGCATGGTTAATTGACCATATTTCAAAAAGAGAATCTATTAAATCTTCAGAGGTTTATCCTTTATGTACAGTAGAACATAACAATTCATTACTAGAAGAGATGCTCGGAAAGAAGTCCTCCGGCGGCGATACAGGCTTCAAGTCTCTTCTCAACTGACATCACCGTGGGCCGCAAGCAGTTTTCGTCGAGTTACTTCAACGCTTCCTCCTAGGAAGCCTTCAGGAAGTCCAAACTTCGATGTTGCCTAGAAGGCATCTTCTGCTGCAGGAAGCCCCACACCGCAAAATCCATTGGGTACAATCGGGTGAGTTAGATGGCCAAACATCTGGTGACCAGTAACCTGGAAAATGGCGGTCACAGAACACCAGCGTAGATTTTGCGGCATGGGGAGGAGCCTAGTCTTGCTGAAGAAGGCACTGACATTTGCTGGAGGTCGAAACAGTCCATGGAACGAGCACATCACGTAAAATTGTTTCCTGGTAGATCTGGGCGTTAATTTTGACGGATTTGTCCACAAAGACAACGGTGTCTCGGTGTCGGAAGTAATTCCTGCCTAAATCATGACAGATTTTGGAAATCGGCTCCTTGTGTGCGCACGACGTCGAGCAGGATGCCTGCTAGCCGGATCCAACAATTGCCTGTCCTTTTGAGAATTGTGCGCCAATTCCAGTGTGATGATCTTCTCGCGTCACGTTGACGTCACTTACTTGCGGCCCACGGTGATGTCAGTTGAGAAGAGACTTGAAGCCTGTATCACTGCCGAGGGAGGCCATTTCGAGCACCTTCTTCAGTGATTGCATGA